AACATATTATTAGCATAAAATAAAGTTGTGTAAGTTTCCTTCATTTTTTTCTAAGTTTTTCAAATTTTCCCGTTTCTCTGCGCCACCTGTATAAACATCAATCCAAGCCAGGATGAAAATGTCAATATTTCACCAATTTTTGTGAATAACATATCAAAATTATCAGATTTTAATAGAGATATCAAAAGCAATATTTCTTATCAATTCATCTCCACTATAATAAATAATCGAATAAAGCTAATGTTCAAAATTATATCCGACTTAGGAAAAGCAATTAAATATTTATTAAATACTAAAACAAAATTCACACCTATAAAGACCCCGCAAATACAAAATTCTCCATAGTTTTAAAACTGTTCATCAATTTTTATCAATACAAGAAATCTTCAAGGATGTCAAAGAAAAGTGCCCTTCGCTAATCAGTGTTACCAGACTGCACAAAGACAACATTCCTATCCCATTGGTAGCTGCCGAGTTTAACGGCCAACAGAGCATAGATATAGTACAAATAATGAAAATTTGCAACTTAAAAGTGAAAGCTGAAAAAGACGTAGAACAAAAGGACCCGTTCAATGCCTAAGGTGTTTAGGCTTTGGTCAAACCCGCAATAATTGTAACCACACCTTAGCCTGTATCTACTGCTCGAAAGATCATATTCGGTTAATTGTCCAAATAAAATGCTCACCGCTGTTTGTAAGAACTGCAACGGGTCACGTAGTGCAGACGTCCGCTCTGACGAATGCCCGTTCTACAAAAAACTAACTGAACCACATACCCCAATTGGAGCTCATAATGGAGAACCATCATCCAAAACTTCACAAGCAACCAATCCCAGAAAGACACCCAACAATGGCACCTCATCTCACTTGTCTTCTCTCAATTTTCCGTATCTTCTACCCACAAACAGCATTCCTAATTTTACTTTCGTCCCAACTTCAACCTCCAACTCGAATCTCTCTTTATCAACCCAACCAAAACAGTTCATCACCAAACAACACAAACTATAATAACAGCAATGATAATAATCCATTCATACACTCCCTTAATAAATTCCATTACAACTCATATCGTTAACATAATCAATTCAATCATCCCAGCAATAATTAGTAATTTACAAACTTCATTGTCATCTTACTTCAATAGCAACCATGGCAGCACAACATACTAACAACTTAATAACCTTCTTGACTGGATTGCGAATAGTATTGCTAATAAAAAAATAGAATTTACGTAATTTCTCCATTCCTATAATGTTGACGTTGCTTGCATTACGGAAACTCATTTAAAACCCAGACTAAAAAGAGTAAAGACTAAACTAAAAAGTAGTACGACTAAAAAATAAATAAAAGTGGTAGCCTAAAAAATAAATATTCGGCCGGTTTAGATGAATTTCCGGATTGTTTGTTCAAGGTTTGCACGACCGCCATTATACACCCGTTAATTCATGTACTTAATGTATCCATATGCACAAGAATTTTTCCACATCTTTTTAAAACTGCTAAAGGTTAAGCCGCTTTTCAAAAAAAGACAACAAAAATGAAATTTAAAATTATCGCTTAATTTCTCTTTTGTCAGATTTTTCAAAAATATTATAGAGACGTTTTTACGTACGAATGGAAACATTTCTTAGTAAACACGACACGTTTTCAGAGTGCCAACATGAGTTTCGAAAATCAAAATCTACGGAAACAGCCATATTTTCTTTTCTTAAAGATGTCGCCTCATCCATGGATCAAAACGAAGAACCTATTGGAATATTTCTAGATCTTTCTAAAGCTTTTGACGTCAAAGAAATCAAATTACACCAACCTTCCCCCAGATATCATGAAAATTATAAATATTAAAAATAAAACCAGAAGATTGTTAGCCCTCTCAAAAAGTAATAGCGTCAAACACGAACTAAAAATTCTCAGATATCCAAAAAAGCATTAAGGAATGATAAAAATAATTAATTTCATCAGCTCATTTAGTCTCAATACACCAAACTACAGAATTTGGGAATTCACAAAAAAGATACTCATGGAAAAAATCATACTTTCAACTAAAGTATAGACTCCCTTTCAAAAGGCAGACAATATCGCCAATTATTTTTCGTCCACCTTAACCACAAACACCACGCAATACCGTTCATCTCACCAAGTAATTAATAATGCATCATATACCCCTACTTACGAACTACACCCAAGAAATAAGTTAATATCACCCAAAGAAATAAAAAATATCATAACCAAATTGCCAGTCAAAAAATCCCTTAAGCACGGTAACATAAGTAATATAATTGTCAAACACTTTCCTCCCTCTGTTTTGGCCTTCATCACAAAAATCACTTCGTGTCTCAGAATCGGATATTTTCCCATAATACGAGGGTTGCCTTTTATATTTTAGGATTAGAGAATAAAAAAATTAATCATCGAAAATCACTTTATTGTTTTTCAAAATATTCCCCATGAAGATCTATACACTTTTGCATGTGTTTGAACAAGTTGCCGAAGCACTTTTGACTCTCTGATTCAGGTATCTCCAAAAAATGTATTCTGAATGCAGCAACCGCTTCTTTAGGTGTCGAAAAACGTTGATCTCTCAGTTTGTTTTTTACATACGGGAATAAAAAGAAGTCATTCGGTGCCAAGTCAGGACTATACGGCGGATGACCCGACAAATCGATGTTTTGGGTGCTCAAAAATGCAGTTGCTTGAGCCGATGTGTGAGAACTCGCATTGTCGTGGTGAAGAGTGATCCGTCTTCGGCGGTTGGTTTTTCTGATTTCTTGGAAGTCAGCTGCTAAACAAATCGTTGTGTACCACTCAGAATTGACTGTTGTGCGCAGTTCTAGTGGTACGGTTGCGACATGTCCAGTTTTTTGAAAAAACAGGCGACCTTCTGGTTGGAAGTGCTTCGTGCGCGAACAACTTTTGTTGGATTTTGCTCATCTTGAAACACTCATACAGTCGACTGCTGTTTACTTTTGGGCTCATACGCGTAAATCCACGATTCATCACCTGTCACAATGTCATAGACGTGTTTCAAAGTATCGCGATCGTATTTTTTGAGCATTTCTTTCGGCCAATCGACACGAGCCTTTTTTTAGCGATTAACAAATTGTGTGAGATCCAACGCGAACAAATTTGTTTGACAGTCAAATGCTCATGCAATATTTAATGTATGCTGGTCCCACTAATGCCTAAGGTTGTCTCAATCTCACGATATGTCACATGACTATCTTGCAACATCAGTTCACGCACAGCATCAATGGTTTTCGGAACAACAACTGATTTTGGACGATGTCCGGGAAATTCGTCTTGGAGTGAACTACGACCACGATTGAATTCACCATACCATCGACAAACACTATTCCTTGATGGAGCTTCGTCACCAAAAATTGAATTAAGTTCATCCATGCACCGTTGC